TGTGTCTCAAAACCAGGTTCGTCATCCGTGTTGCATTAGAATCCCATCTAGGAAACATGCGAAGAGGATATTACTCCAAATTCAGTGACTGCTGCAATTCTACACTTCGAAACCAATTCCAAAGACATAGGCCCATAGTAAGCTACCGTCAGGGCATCTCGCCTGAGGCGGACCGGAGTTGATATCTTGTCGTCTCAGTCCAGCATCCGGCGAGCCATTGATCGGAAAATCCATATTCTATCATCCACTTATGGTGATACGCTCCAATAACCATCATGGACGGAACGAAATCGCAGTCCTGTGGTGGAGTGGCGAAGAGGTTCGCGTAGTGTGCAAAGGGTAGAGGTTCAGTTCCGTTGCAGCGCAAACGTTTTTGCGATGGCCAAAAACGTTTGATTTTTATCGGCAGAACAGTCCAGCGGCAGTGACCGGCACATCCGTCTTCGATCCACAAATAGCACCTAATTTTCTTTCGCACCTTTATCTATTGCTTCTTCTTTTTCTTCCGCTCTTTTTTTTCACATTTTTATGATCTTTTATAATCGTTTTATAATCATGCGTAGGTGTTATATGACTAAGCATATGAATGTGCTTACTCATATCATTGAACCATACACGCTTATCCCATCATTTGACGCTAAAGTAGCCGCCGCATGTCTTGGATGGTGATCCAAATGGTAGAGTGGTGAAGAGGACGGCGCGTTGTGCCATGCATATCAGGTTCGAGTCCTACGTGGCACAAAGTGTTTTGTCCTGGGTGCAAGGACTCCATTACTTGACTTTATTGTAAGCACGCACTTTAGAACGATTTGAACAAGTTTGTTGCCGTGGTCGTCGTCTAAATTTGAATGGAATCAGTATCTGAATAATTGTTTTAAATGGCTTCGCTCTTCTTCAACGTCCGTCAGCAGCGGCAGAGGAACGCCCGTTATCAGCGCATCCATCCTTCCTCTGTGTTGCAGCAGAACGATCGCATCTTCTACTCGAAGTACAGATTTCGCAGAGAAGATGTTAAGAAGATCGTAAGGATGCTCGAACCGCTGCTGCCGGATGCAGGGCTGGAGCCCTGGGAAATCAGCAAAGAGGACCAGGTTTGGATATCTTTCCATGAAGGTCTGCTATAACTACTCTCTATTCGCTTCAGGTCCTCATCACACTCCGCTACCTGGCCACCAACAGTCATCAAACTGAGATTGATGTCTTGTAGCCAACGCCGAGATTGTTACAAACTTTATTGGCCAACGTTTCGGCTTCTCACCTTCGTCAGGGCCTGAATGGGGTATCGATTCGTAACCCAGACGGGCAAATGTCTTTACGGCCTTACGAAAAAGGTCTAAGCCTTAATTTTGGCCACTAGCTTTGCAACAGTTACTCACCGCACAAACAACACCCTTGGTAGAACGACGGCTGGGCTGACCGTATATGGAAGAACTAAATGGGAGGTCAGCATAGTTGGCTCAGATAAGGAGATAGTTCTCTCGTGATTGCGAGGCATTCTTCTTTACGGTTGATTTGTGGGTTCCTAGCATGAATCCACAATGCTTCTAGAAACTTGCGAGCAGCCGTTTTAGGTTCACGTGCTAATATCTTTACGGTCACTTCAAAACTCGATCCTTCATGCCTTAGTACTCTGTGTGTTCCTAACGGAGTAGAAGTTCGCTGTTTATCCCTGCCATCTAGGTGTTCTTTTATACGAACACATAGGGGACGTGCGGTTTCACCTACATACTCGTCTCCGCAGACGGTACAGGAAATGGAGTTTCTAGAAGTTTCTAGAAGCATTGTGGATTCATGCTAAGAACCCACAAATCAACCGTAAAGAAGAATGCCTCGCAATCACGAGAGAACTATCTCCTTATCTGAGCCAACTATGCTGACCTCCCATTTAGTTCTTCCATATACGGTCAGCCCAGCGGTCGTTCTACCAAGGGTGTTGTTTGTGCGGTGAGTAACTGTTGCAAAGCTAGTGGCCAAAATTAAGGCTTAGACCTTTTTCGTAAGGCCGTGAAGACATTTGCCCGTCTGGGTTACGAATCGATACCCCATTCAGGCCCTGACGAAGGCGAGAAGCCGAAACGTTGGCCAATAAAGTTTGTAACAATCTCGGCGTTGGCTACAAGACATCAATCTCAACTTATAAACTATGCCGAGATTTATCGAGAGTCGTACATGCTAGTCATCAAACTGTTATAGCTGACTGTTTCGGGGTGAGCCAGAAAGCAGTGAGTGATGACGTCACCCGGGTAGTGGATGCTCTCAATCATCCAACAATAGAGGCCCGCTTCCTCCGCTTCTCGCCGTCGTACGAGCGCTGGTGCTTGCGAAGGTCTCGAGAATTCGCTAGAATCTCGAGATTTACAAGTAAGAATTTCACGAAATTTTTAAACAATGGATAAAAATGCTTTGTTTAGATGTCATTGGATGCGTTGATGGCTGCCTCATCCGAATCCAGCGCCCTATCAACCTCGGCAACCACAGTCAATATGATTGCGGTAGTGGATGCCAGGGTCCGCTTCATGTACATCAACTGTGGATTCGCGGGCAGGCACCATGACTCATTCATATGGCAGCATTCGCAAGCAGCTGCCGAGTTCGACGAAGGTCGTGCTCGTCCAGGATATCGTTTTCTGGGGGATGCCTGCTTTGCCAACTCCAGGAGTGTGATGGCGCCCTTCCGAGAGCGGGCCACAGAGAATGACGTCAGGAAGAGGAGGTTCAACAGGGAGCACGCCAAAGCTCGTCGAATCGTCGAGCAGGCGTTCAGAGCGCTGATGCGGCGTTTCTGCATACCGTACAACATTACCGCATTCAGCCTCCGAAGCTGCAGAAGGTAGTGAAGGCCTGCGTCATTCTCTACAACATCGGCATCTTCCTGGGAACGCATAGAGGACAGTCGCTGTTCCCCATTCGTCGCAATTGGATGGCCCATCCTCCGGACAACGACCACGAATTCGTTACCGAAAACTTGTAAAAGTTGATACTCGTTGCAACGAACGGGATGGCGGCTCCTGACGTCTGTCTTAGCAAGCTCGAAAATGGTATGGACTCCACACAGGGGACTCACCGCGCTCGGCAGTCATTCTGCAGCTGAAAATCCGAAGCAAGTTCACCTAACATATCCGCAACATGCTACAAAAGGCTATAACAACGAGCAACAAACATGTAGCAGGTTGCAAAAAGTTGTTACATGTTGCATGTTTGATAGAATTGGCTACATATGATGCATGTTGCAGCAAATTGTATGTTGCATCTGCATGCAGCAAGATGGTACTGCAACATGCAACAGGCATTGCTGCGACAATGTTGCGTATGTTGCGGATCTTTGGATCGGGATCGTAATAGATGGCAGTGTTTGATAGCGAAATGAAACCTAAAGTATCATGGTCGAACCAAGGTCGAAAGTCTAGTAATCATTTATAGCATTTCTAGACCCATTAGCAGTCATATTTCGACATGTACCCGTGGCAAAGACGAATGTTGAGTTGAACTGGCTACTAAAACTGACATCAACAACGACCACTTTGAGCACGCACCTTATATTCCAGTCAGTTGTTCCCAAAAATTGCACTGCTTTTCCTCAAAGTCTCCACTATGACACATGCGTCTCTCAGACTCGCAACAGAATTGTTATATGCCTGAAAACATTCAATTAAGTTCTTTTCATGCAGCAGAATTCAAAAAGTCACCGTTTTCTCGTCAATGGTGATGGACTCCTCGAGAATGCCAGAGTTTGCTATCAACTTACAACCCTTCTATACGTTTCCTGTGGCATTTTAAAGCAATGGCGGATTGCGATTAACCTAAATATGTGGTAATGAAGTATAGTTTACAATGACATTAAGCAGACCCACCAAAAATGCGTATCAATTACCACCGGCAACAATGAGCAATAGAGGCAGCCGGTTTCCTGGAAAGATGAAAAAGGGTAAACAGAGCTTGCAAACGGGAAGGAATGGTACCAACACCCTTGCATTCGGGCGAGCAAGAGGAATAGGCTCCTTCTCAGATTTAAGCTCCGACATCAGTACTGCAGCTTCTTCTTCATATACATGAGTGGCGGCCGTGGATTAAGCCAAGGAGGTTTGGCCCACTCCTTTTAGCAGATTGAGAGGTTGATCAATAACAAATTAGTGAGATAGTGAAACAACGAAACTGAAAAGACTAAAATTCAACCTAATCGAAAAAAATCTCTTGTCTCTACAGTTATCTTTACAAGAAAAAAAGGTACCTGAACAAGCAGACTGCGCCATTCTTTCATTTATTCACTAGGCACGATAGAATCTTCGATGTTCTGATCCTCCATAAGATTTTCTGGTGCCCTCCCTCCACCACACAGCCCACCGTTTTGCCCCTTTGGTGATGTTCCGCCGTGCTGCCCGCTCTTCTGCGACGTTATATAGTCGCATAGTACATTTAAAGTGTGTATTATTTCATTAAAAAATTTTCTTTGGTCCTGAAAATCATACCAAATTAGAATCCTTACCTCACAAAGACGAAATTGCTCTTCTAAAAAATCTCTCTCAGTAATCCTGCGCTTTCGGGTTCTGCTCAATCCACCTCCTCCACACCACCACCGTAGCCTCAATCAAGAGCATTGCACCCCACTCGGCCTCGTCCTCCACTCACGCCTCCACCACCACCTCCTCCTTCTACCTCTTCTTCTTCCTCCTTCCCATTTTCTCCTCCTCCTACCCCTCCGCCAGCTCGCAGATAATTTCGTTCTTCTCCTCGGGCTCTTCGTTCATAGAATTCCCCGCCTTCCTCATCGCTATAGCTTTAGAATCCATCCTAAAAAAACATTGAGAAGGTGAGTTTGAAGAAAGTATCCGGTCTAACCATCAAGGGCTCTGCACGATCGTCTTCTGCATTGTTTTGGAACAGTGAAGGTTTTCTCTGCAATCGGTAAACATTCACTGAAGGACAAGTATATACTGCCACAACACTTACCTTGCCCACATTACTCTCCCCTTCACGGAAAGGCACAGTGATAGGTGTATTATCTAAAAATCTCCATAATTCTTCCTCCATGACATAATCGAATGGAGATTTTTATTCGCAAAAGCCTCATCTGCGGGTGTAATGCCACCACCAGTTGCTGTTCGATATCTGGAGATATATTGCTTATAACAAATAATTTTACCGTCACAGATCCTTACCGTTTCTCGGCGTTGACGTTCCGTCTAAATGCCATGCCTTTGGATATGACTTTTGCTCGATAACGATCGAAATGGTTTCTTATTTGTCTCTCCGTTATTTCAAAGCCGTATTCTTCGGCTACTTCACCCACTAACTTGCGATAAGCAGTCATCCTCTTTCCATTTTGTGCAAGTGTTCTTACATTTGTATCGTTCAATAGAACTTCGGAATTTTTGATGAAATACTGAACAATATGTTTTGACACCGCATGTGGGATTTTTGTGGGAGTTTCTGAAAAAGGTTTAGATAAGACTCTGATTGAACTGAGTTTTGTGTTGCATTACTTATTGTTCGGTGTAGAAGGATTGACTTTCAGCAACTCTGAATTCTGTTGTGGTGTAAAGCCATGATTTTCTTAAGTTTAGCGAGGGTGAAATGAGGAAATGGAGGAAAGCAGTTAAAGGGGAAAATGATTCAATTGATGTAATGATTTGAATCATAACGAACTGCTGCGCCTTCGCTTCATTCCTGCGCGTAGCGTAGGCGCTTTGAGGATAAGTAAAGAAAATATAAATGTAAGTGATACAGATTTACACAAAGGAAACTGACCTTTTGATGAAGGATGAGTCATGACAACGGGCGAAGCCGAAAATGCCAGAATCAGCAATACAATCAGCACTGAAGTCACTGACCTCAAATCATTAAGTTAAATAAATTCACGAGACTACATGGACGACAAGGTACAGTGTAGCAACGAAAACGTTGAAATGAGAATTGAACATGATGCTTCAATACGGCGAATATAAAAGTGTTGTAACATTTGCAGACGCTAAACATGTTCAATCGAAATGAGCTCGATTTACCGAACAACCACATTTGTACTGGCGTCATTTCGAATATGAGAACATAGCATGAACTAGGATCAGCAGGATTCGGCGGCAAAGTTAAAATGATAAAAACTATCGAAACGCACTAGCAAGCAGGAGGAATGAATAATAAAGTACGCGCAATTAGGCGTAGAATAAATAGTGAAACAAAAAGAAACAACAACAAAAACCTCTGCAACTCCTCTAAATAGTTCGAATAAGAAAGTGTGTAGTTCTTTAATTTGTCTGCATTTTTAGGCAAAGTGGTGTGTATTGTAAGTTACTCAGGAGCAACTTACGAAGATTTTTTCTGCGTTTCCTCTTTAGCACACTATTTCTGGACATCATCGCTCATATCATCTCCTATGACCCCCCTGCCGAACTTTACCTGAGGCTCACCTCTTAAAGGGAAGTTCATTTGGTCGAAGTGGCGATTCGGAAGGTGATCTACACCAATGGATAGAGCTTAAAACGCTGATTCCAGATACACCTTTTATATCTGCGATGCATTGTTCTGAAAAAAGTTATGAGCTTTTCTAAAGCCAAATTTTCATGCATTTTGAGTCATGATAATCTCTACACAAAAGTGTGCGAGCTTAAGCAAAAACTCGAGTTCATTCGAACGTTTTCGAGTGTTTTCCGATCATGCTGTTTATCCACAGATCGTCATTTTCCTTCTTAGATCACACTTCCATTACATATACAAAAAAGTCCATAACCTCCATCTAGAAAAAATCGTCGCAGTTATTGAAGATCTATTTGAGAACATCGTTCTACGTTCTATCCATTGGTTTCTAGAAAGTTTCCGACGTGACGCGTTTTTCTAGATGGAGGTTATGGGCTTTTTTGTGTATATAATGGAAGTGTGATCTAGAAAGGAAAATGACGACCTGTAGATAAACAGCATGGTCGGAAAACACTCGTAAGCGTTCGGATGAACTCGAGTTAGACCCACAATGCTTACTAGGTGGTTTGCTTGAGCTTGCACACTTTTGTGTAGAGATTATCATGATTTTGCGACTCAAAATGCACGAAAATTTGGCTTTAGAAAAGCTCATAACTTTTTTCAGAACAATGCATCGCAGATATAAAAGGTGTGCCTGGAATCAGCGTCTTAAGCCTATCCATTGGTGTAGATCACCTTCCGAATCGCCACTTCGACCAAGTGAACTTCCCTTGTTAGGTGACGTTGCATCCCTATAGCTTGGGGAAATGGGCGGTCGTCATTTTACTGACAGAACCTCACATGAAGGTCTCAGGGGAGATCATCTCCCATGACCGAGCTTTACTACGGGCCATAGTTGCAGTGGCACGCATTGAAAATTTCCAGGTTTTTTCTCGCCTCTCTTGACAAAATAGATTTTTAAATGCAGCCACTATAGTAATAGTAATGCAAAGCCTCCTCTATATTGTGGATATAAATTTGCCCCGCGGTGTGCCAAATTTTTGCAGTAGCGGAATAAATTTCAAACTTTTAGGAAATAGCTTTTTGCGTTTTGAGGCAGAAATGGTTTGATAATTTTATTTTTTTTCAGTTAAACATGAAAATCATTTTCCACCCCTAAGGATGTAGTTTACGAAGAATGATTGGAGGATTCTGTGGTATAAATTTGAGATCAAAATCACCAGTGATTGTTGAGTTAAAGCAGTGCAAAATTAGGCTACAAGACTTTTGGGACACCCCGTACAATTGAATGCTGTTCAAGCACTTGCTAGGTTTGATAAGGATTTTTTTCAGATTTTTTTGACAGTAAAAGTCGTTTTTGACTGCTATAATATCGTGGATTACGATTTGTGCAGAGTGTTGGCATCTTGTAGAGCTTGCTTTGCCCTATCGAATGGTTACTCAAGCCGCATTAATTGGAGGAAAGATATAAAAAGACGACCATCGAAGTGTAAACGGTAAAAAATTATAGGACAACCTAATACATAAGTAACTAGCCGGTGCAGGGATCCAACTGCGAGACGTTTCGTCGAAAGTTCTGTCGTACGCTCATTTATGCAAGCGGCCTTATCTGTATAGCCCGCTCTTACTTATCATAGTCAAATTAGGATCATTGGGCAGCTCTTAATTATTTTGGAATCAAAAGATGGCAAATGAGGTTATCCACGTACTGGAGCAATTGGGTATCAATTTGCGTGTATAGCTTTCATTATATTGATATACTGATGAACTTTATCCTAAAGTAACTGTCGATTACTGGTATGAACACCGCGTGCAGTCAGACACTATGCATTCCTTCGTCATAGCTCCCAACACTACGGCGCTTTTTCCTCTGCCTTTTGAAGCAGCAGTCCACAAGTACTCCCTCATCGTCGTTGAGAGCGAACCGTGAAATAGTGCCACACCAGCAATTATTCTGGTCATGTAATCCAAGTACCACTTTTCATCGACGTACACGAGACAGACCTTTTTCTCTTGCTCCTTCCTCGTCTTTTAGATATATGGCTCTTTTGATATTAATATCCGGGTCTTTGAATATGTACTGTTGCTCGTTGGTTTCTCTGAGCCAAGACCGCGCAAAAAATAGTAAAAACCCGTCTTCTCGAGCTCAACTGAAGGGTATTCTGCCCCAATCCACAGTTCGGCTGCTTTGGCGCATTTTCCATTTCGGAACTTCTAACGTGTCAAATGATAAGCGGCGCTGCCCTATTTCTCGAAAAGTTTTTAAGGCTTCACTTCTTTGCTATTTACGTGCGCTCTGCACGTAGAAGGAACGAAAGAATCACATTGAATCAAACCCAAACACCCCGTCTTCGGCTTCTATCTTTCAGGCAGTGCCGGTAGCGACACCATATGCGAGTGCCATGAGCTCTGTAGGTGTCTATGCATTTAGCCGAATTAGCTCGTCAAATCATCAAGTTGGTGTTGTATTAGATAAAGCAGACAAAATTATTTTCTATCCATCGTATCCTTGATGAGAGCGAAGGATAGTCCACTGCAAGTCGGTAAATTTATAGTCCAACTTGAAGTTCTGACAATAAAGTACTGCATTTTACTGTAAAAGATTGTTCAGTCCTCTCCTTGCTCAACATCAGGGTGCAAGCGATAAGTGGCTGGAATGAAATAAGATTTGTGAAATAAGGAAATCTAAATTTTACCTGTAGAATTCATAGTAGTGGTGTTCTAAATTCTGCGGTGAACGTAAAGTTTTGCAATACCAAAACTACTAAAGTTGCACGAAATATTATATCAATGTAGACCGAAGGATCCAAAATGTTACGACACTATGGTGTCTAACAAGCTTAACATGATTAACGCATGCGAACATTCTTTAATATTTTGGTTTCGAACTACATGTTAGAGCAGCATATATAAAGCAATGAAGAGTTAACCAAAGACACGGTTTCATGCAAAAAAAACTGATATATTTCTCTAGACTCTATGTTCTTTGGCTGTGAAGCGTGATCTTCAATGATCTCGGTCATTAAATTATAATACGTATGAAGACAGTGAAAATGGCTCGCAAAATCAAACTATTGACTTGCCACATGAGGAATATTGCAATGAATTCATAGCGTGAAACTTCAAATAATGCATCAAAATACTGATTGGATGTTGACTGAGCAATAAGATGTGCTTGATAAAAAATGTAAGAGGGGAATTTCAAAAGAAAAGAGCAGAATAGCTTCAAAAGTTACTGCATCGTATTGCTATGTATCATTGTTACTCTTACTCAAACAGAAGATTAGTAAATTATGCACAACCCTATCAAACAAATTAAGGATTCGTTATGGGGGATTGAAGAATGGAGACAACAAGTATGAAAAACAAAAAACAAAGGAACAACGTATTAGGTTGGCACATGAGTTTTGCAACTTTTCCCATAATTTTCTTCTTACTAGATTTAGCATTCTCATTTTTTGAGATCGTGTAGAGTGTAACGTAGGCTGCAAACATGCTCGAACGTTTGATTTATGGTAAAGTAATAGAAAAAATTCAAGCATTTTTCGAAAACCTTTGAAAGTCCAAGTTTCACGGTTTTTTGCAACTATGAAACCGTACAAAACCTGAAACAAACATATCATGAAGTAATTATAAGCAGCATGTAGCTAGAAGTTGACATATTAGAACCAGTAAAAAAGAAGTGAAATTCTAAGAAAAACTAAGATAAGGCGCCTTTGAGAAGTAGAATAAGTCAAATGCGACAAGTTGTAGGGCAATCTGTCAATAACTAAGCTGCGAAACCTCAGAATTTGCTAAATCTTTGCACAATAGGGTAGCCCAATATGGTGACCACATATGTCATATTCATTCATCGTCAAGATTACATTCATTTTTTGACGTTACGAAAGAGACCCCTTC